ATCTCGAATTTAACATTAGTGAAATATTTCCTAAATTTATTAATATGGAAACTTCCTAATTTTGGAATTTTCAATATTTGGAATTCAACATTAGTGAAATATTTCCTAAATTTATTAACATGGAAACTTCCTAATTTTGGAATTTTCAATAGTTGGAATTCAACATTAGTGAAATATTTCCTAAATTTATTAACATGGAAACTTCCTAATTTTGGAATTTTCAATATTTGGAATTCAACATTAGTGAAATATTTTCTAAATTTATTAACAGTCAAATCTTCCTAATTTCTGAATTTTTCATCATCTTCAACATTTACTACTAAAACCTTCGTTTCCACTTTGCTCCTTTCAACTACTAACCAAATTTCCATAATTTCTCAGCCTACAAAAGTTCACACTTATTCCGCACACAATGTTTCTCACACCGTTCAAAATACGAAACACTTACTGCTAAAATCACCGATGACACATATTCCAATACTCTGAGTGTTATATCCAGGTGCATGTGCCCCAACGTAATTCCATCCACGACCCTCGTAAACATTTCCATCCTCGCCAATGACGAAATTGTAACCAATGTCGAACCAGCCATGATCGTCCATATGGTAACTTTGGTAGCTTCTCACAATCGCTGCGCATGATTTCTCATCGGAACAGTACTTTGCAATACCTCCGTGATGGATGACAACGTAAGGAGTCGGTGTTACTTCCATAGGAACACGTTCAAGCGGTGTCCTGGCTCCCCAATTTTCTCTGCTCACGATACATGGAATTCCTGCGCAGAAAAGCGACGATTTTCTTTCGTATTTTTGCTTCTGTATCGCCGATGAAAATAGAAAATTGGAGCAAACTTGGTGCAGGTTCCAACAATGCATGTGTACTTATATAGAATCTCTGTGTAAAACGACGAGAATTTTCATTTCTACATCGTCGATCAAAAATTTTTAAAATATTGTCCGAAAAATTGGAGATAAGTTGACAAAGGTGGGTTCTGACAAAGTGACAGAATCGATGGAAATTCTTAATCACTGGTAATCATTGTTATAATTCTCAGTTGTATGCTTGGAATAAAGATGTAATTTAAATTTCGTGAAAAGAAACAATTCCATCAGGCTTCTCTGAATGCAGGATACTCAAAAAAAAAAAGAAATTCCAAGTCTGTTCTTTAAAAAAAAAATCTTGTCCCTTTGTTGTGTATTTTAAAGAGTATGTGAAATACACTTGCTTCGAAAAATTTATTAAGAAGACTGTTCTACTTTAATTTGTTAACTGAGTTCATTTTTAAAAACAGAAATTAAGTCTCTCTGGCTTGTAATTGAAAATGATTTACTATTATTTGAATTCTTGCAACTGTGAATAGGATATATTTTATATTTAATTTGTACATAACAGTAGAATCAAAAATCAGTACTCTAACTATTGCTGAACCAATATTAACTCGTCTTTCCCACTTAGCAGATTAAAAAAATCCCTTTCCCACCTATTTAACCCTTTCACTGCGACAAATTTCGATACCTAACGCGACACCCGGTAGATATTCAGCAGTAGCCGCAAAAAATTTCTAAAATTCCTTTGAAAATTCTCAAAACTGAGAAATTAAAAATTTCCAAAATTCCTTTGAAAATTCTCAAAACTAAAAAATTTCAAATTAAACCGTGCAACGGGTAAAATTAAGACAAAACTACGCCCGAAATTGTTCAATTTTCAAACCGCCTATAAGCACCGACAGCAACGAAAGCGTAAAAAAGAAAGCCCTCGAATCACACCCTCGATTCAATCGAATTTCAATCAACGTTCAATAAATTCCTCCTTACCGGTATCGTTCACGAAATTCGCCCACGAGAATGGCATCGCGGGGACATTTTCGAACGACAGAAACAAAACCGAAGTGTAGACAAGAAATACTAGAAACTTGTACGATCCCATGACGGTTGGGTAACGTGTTTAGCTCGTGGTTAATTGTATAACTGAACGAGAATCATGAAACGGCGCCGGCTTTTAAACGCACATTTCAACGTGGCCGGGAAGTCCCTCGGTGGCGTATGTTGGGTCTTTTAATCCTCTCTCCGCTTGCGTTGTATCACGAAAACAAGAACAGGAGAGAGAACCTCACCGTTCGCACACTGTGCACGGCCAGCGTGGCCAATCGATAAGCAATTTTCAATCTCACGAATATTAAGTTGGGAAAAAAAGAGACAAGAAAAAAGAAGAGAGAAGAAATAAAGCGTAATCTGTGCGACGACAGGTAGAAAAAAAAAAAAATCGGTGAGATAGAAGAACGATAGGACGTGAAATGTTTCTACGATAAGATACAACGCTTGATAAATTACAACGCTTGTTTGTTGAAACGTGCACATTCGATTAATGGCGATATTGCACAACAGAATTCACTCAAAAGTTCCATTAGTCGATTCACATTTTCTCTCCTTCGGAGAATTTTTCAATTAGGCCATTTATCGCGCGCGATCTGTTCGATGATAATGAACACGTTACTCGAATTGTCTTATCGTCGATACACGATCAATGAATAAAGCACAATTAAATCGACGATCGAAGGAATACGATTTCTATAACGAAATTGTATCTAACGTGAGTGAGCGTGATTTGAATTTTGGCGCCTTGCGGAAATTTGGCGGGAAAATGTAAATTGAAGATTTTCGAGTGATCGGAAAGTTGGAAGTGTTTAGAATTTGAGGGATAGTTATTGCACCGCTGTTCTCGCTCTTCAGTTTTCCTGGAACGAGGATATTGAGAAAATGTACAGTTTGTGTTTTCGACTGGCTGGAAAAAGTTGGAAATGTTGAGCGATGAAAGAACGCGTTTTGCGTATTACATTGGAGTTGAGGAAAATTGAAGAGCGAAAACAATGATAATTGCTATTTATCAAGTTCAAGGAAAGAATATTATTAGTGTCAACTAGTGTCGTACGTGATTTGAGGGAAATGGAAAATGAATTTCATCTTGGCAGAGATGTGGATGTGAATGAAAATTTTTGTAGGTTAAGAGAAACTTAATTGTAACCTATTCTCGTTAAACGAATTTGTAAATCTAATGTAAGCGATTTTACGATACACCGTTGCTTAAGATATATGGAACATGGAAGATTTTATTTAATGACATGTGAAAATAATCGTTTATTACGAAATGCGACGACTTCAGAGTCAAATAATCGCTAAGGAATCCCGTTGCAAGTGATTAGAGAAAAAACGATGGGTTTACGTCATGAAATATAAAGACTTTTCATGCAAAATTTCAAGCGTTCGATTGAAAAATTATATGTGTGTTTAAAAGGAGAGTGAAATGGGATAATAGTTTGGAGAAAATGTTTATTGCGTTACGTATTTATTTATTTGTAGAGAGGCAGAGACGAGACTCGTCTGTGATAGAGGTCGTTGCAGTTTGTATTTTTTTGTGGAACGTTCTGAAATACCGATCGTGTAAAAAATCCAACGATGAAGCTATGCCCTCTATGGTGTAAAGCGGTGCGTTTAGTAATTACATACAATCGAACCATCAAAGATGGTAAAATCGACAGATGTAAAGAATTATATTTATAAGATAAATGTATTAAAATGTATTTTATAAAAGGTTACAATATACCAGTACTGTTTTACAGCATTTTACAGTCTATTTATTTCTCCCTTACACACCACGTCCAATTTTCTTTATGTATAAGTGAGATGTTAAAGGAATGAGAAATAGATTATAAAAATTAATTTTGAAAGTGCCTGCTGCATGCAATTGTTTATTCAATATGCAATTAACAATTAAGCTATTTTATTAAGTTAAAACATGCAACAATTTTATTCTAGACATTTCTATAATTATAAACGACCATCTAAATTGTTATTTAACAAGAAAGACTAGTTATTGCATAATTAATGTACTTTCAAATATGCCCGAAACTGTATTTTACTATCTACATTATTAGTAATGTTAAAACAGTTAAAAGTTCATTATAAGTATCAATTAAATATAATAAAAACGAGGAGAATAGCAATAGCGAAGAGAGACAAGAAAACGAACAGCGGTAGAGAAGGATATGACTAGAGTAATGAGTTAGACAAAGAAAGAAATGGGGTAGAGAAGGATAGCACTAGAGAAACGAGTTAGACAAGGAAAGGAATGGGGATAAACAAGGATAGCACTAGAGAAATGAGTTAGACAAGGAAAGAAATAGAGGTAGACAAGGACAGCACTATAAAACAAGTTAGACAAGGAAAGAAATAGGGGGAAACAAGGATAGCAATATAAAAACAAGTTAGACAAGGAAAGGAATAGGGATAGACAAGGATAGGAACAGTGCCGTGTGTTAGACAAGGAAAGCAATAGGGCTAGACAAGGACAGAAGAAAATGACGGGCGAGACTATCGCCATCTAGCGTTTAGTGACTCGAACTAACATTTCTTAATAGGAACACATGATATAAACAGAGGTATTAGACAAAGAACGCACTAGTGTGCGAGAAGGACAGAGAGAGAACGTTTCCTATTGGCTGGCGAGCCGCTGAGCTCCACCACCCAGAGCCTCAGCTACGTAGTCCGGTGAAAAATCATTAATAACTCGATAATTACGTTGATTTTGTGAACTTTTAGTATTGAAGAATGAAGTGTGGACCTTCAGCAACTTTCACATGTAAATTTTAAGCCTCTAGGTCCTTTCGATAATTAGTTATTAATATTAATATCGGAAAGGACGCGATAGTCCCTTACGCTACGTCAAGTCGGCCAGGGAAGAATCATTAATAACTCGATAATTACGATGAATTTGTGAACTTTTAGTATTGAAGAATGAAGTGTGGACCTTCAGCAACTTTCACATGTAAATTTTAAGCCTCTATGTCCTTTCGATAATTAGTTATTAATATTAATATCGGAAAGGACGCGACAGTTCCTTACGCTACGTCAAGTCGGCCTGGGTAAAATCACTAATAACTCAATAATTACGATGAATTTATGAACTTTTAATATTGAAGAACGAAGTGTGGACCTTCAGCAACTTTCACATATAAGTTTTAAGCCTCTAGGTCCTTTCGATAATTAGTTATTAATTTTAATATCGGAAAGGACGCGACAGTCCCTTACGCTACGTCAAGTCGGCCAGGGAAAAATCATTAATAACTCAATAATTACGATGAATTTATGAACTTTTAGTATTGAAGAATGAAGGGTGGACCTTCAGCAACTTTCACAGATAAATTTTAAGTCTCTGGGTTCTTTCGATAATTAGTTATTAATTTTAATATCGGACTAGTTGACTAGACTCTAGTACGACGAGCACGAGACTCTCCCATATAATCTTTTATAACTCTTAAACTAAACCGAATATATTAATCAATATTATATGAGAATATAGGTGAGGGAGTTACCTTTCCGATGCATATAGCTAGTTTCATGGCAATTTAGTAGAAAGCTATGAAATTATTAAAAAACCGTAAGTGTATGCGGAATTGTTCCAGACGTCACAGACTAAAATTGGTAATAACTAATTATTGAGAGGACCTAGAGGCTTAAAACTTATATGTGAAAGTTGACAAAGGTCCACACTTCATTCTTTAATACTAAAAGTTTACAAATTCATCGTAATTATTGAGTTATTAATGATTTTACCCAGGCCGACTTGACGTAGTGTAAGGGACTGACGCGTCCTTTCCGATATTAATATTAATAACTAATTATCGAAAGGACCCAGAGACTTAAAATTTATCTGTGAAAGTTGCTGAAGCTCCACCCTTCATTCCTCAATACTAAAAGTTCATAAATTCATCCTCATTATTGAGTTTTTAATGATTTTTCCCTGGCCGACTTGACGTAGCGTAAGGGACTGACGCGTCCTTTCCGATATTAGTATTAATAACTAATTATCGAAAGGACCCAGAGACTTAAAATTTATCTGTGAAAGTTGCTGAAGGTCTACCCTTCATTCTTCAATACTAAAAGTTCATAAATTCATCGTAATTATTGAGTTATTGATGATTTTGCCCTGGCCGACTTGACGTAGCGTAAGGGACTGTCGCGTCCTTTCCGATATTAAAATTAATAACTAATTATCGAAAGGATCTAGAGGCTTAAAACTTATATGTGAAAGTTGCTGAAAGTCCACACTTCGTTCTTCAATATTAAAAGTTCATAAATTCATCGTAATTATTGAGTTATTAGTGATTTTACCCAGGCCGACTTGACGTAGCGTAAGGGACTGTCGCGTCCTTTCCGATATTAATATTAATAACTAATTATCGAAAGGACCTAGAGGCTTAAAATTTATATGTGAAAGTTGCTGAAAGTCCACACTTCGTTCTTCAATATTAAAAGTTCATAAATTCATCGTAATTATTGAGTTATTAGTGATTTTACCCAGGCCGACTTGACGTAGCGTAAGGAACTGTCGCGTCCTTTCCGATATTAATATTAATAACTAATTATCGAAAGGACCTAGAGGCTTAAAACTTATATGTGAAAGTTGCTGAAGGTCCACACTTCGTTCTTCAATATTAAAAGTTCATAAATTCATCGTAATTATTGAGTTATTAGTGATTTTACCCAGGCCGACTTGACGTAGCGTAAGGAACTGTCGCGTCCTTTCCGATATTAATATTAATAACTAATTATCGAAAGGACCTAGAGGCTTAAAACTTATATGTGAAAGTTGCTGAAGGTCCACACTTCGTTCTTCAATATTAAAAGTTCATAAATTCATCGTAATTATTGAGTTATTAGTGATTTTACCCAGGCCGACTTGACGTAGCGTAAGGAACTGTCGCGTCCTTTCCGATATTAATATTAATAACTAATTATCGAATTCGAGTCACTAAACGCTAGATGGCGATAGTCTCGCCCGTCATTTTCTTCTGTCCTTGTCTAGCCCTATTCCTTTCCTTGTCTAACTTGTTTTTATAGTGCTATCCTTGTTTTCCCCTATTTCTTTCCTTGTCTAACTCATTTCTGTAGTGCTATCCTTGTCTGTCCCTATTCCTTTCCTTGTCTAACTTGTTTTATAGTGCTGTCCTTGTCTACCCCTATTTCTTTCCTTGTCTAACTCATTTCTCTGGTGCTATACTTATCTATACCTATTTCTTTCCTTGTCTAACTCGTTTCTATATCGCTAAATACCTCGAAGAGTTATTCTTTGTTCTGTGCACGATTAAATATATTGAAACATACTTTATTTTAGTATTTATATTTACTGATATTAATAAATCGTCTTTCTTGTTACTTTAATACTAGCCAATATTACTAGTAATCTAAAGCATCTAAAGTCGATAGTTTTGGCTGTTACTTTACTGACAATACTCATCAATAATTACAAATTATTCATTTGAATTTGTATTATGTACAATGTACTTCTACTATTCATTAATCTAACAACGTTTTTCATTTATCATAAATATTTATTCAATTAACAGATTCACAGACAATGCGTATTATAATACAAAATATGTCGTCGTATCGAAATATAACGTAAAGTTAAGAAAATTAATTTTTCAATAAACTACAGCTTAATCAGCTATTAATCAATTTATTTGAAGTTAAAATTATTATCCCTGAATGTTTATGAAATTTACATGTACATCGACTCTTAAATACTACTTCAATTTAGATCCGACTGTCTCCTGACAGTGGTGTAGTGTAATTTCTCACTCTGTAAGTTTATTTTTTATTAATTTTCTGTACTAAGTAAGTGTACAAACATTATCAAAAGCAATATGTTCAAATTTGGATTTTCGAGGAACAACGAGGATGAAGGTATTTTCATACTGTTTTGTTCAACTCATTGAAATTCGTAATATTAGAACTCAATTTTGAGGTTATGCTCGTCTTATACCTTTACGCATGTATTATTTCTAAACATACTTCAATCTTTTACCGAATATTTTTAAACATTATTCCATAAAAGAGAACTTTATTAGAGTACTTATTCCAGAAAAAGATATCGGTGTGAAAAAATCGACGATTGATTGGATACCTGCGTCTAAGGTAGAAGTATCCGAATTACAAATAGAAAAACAGTATGATCCTAACGATTATATGGATAGAGTAATATTTCCGGGTTGTAAATTAAAATTAATTCGATCTGAAAAAGCTTTACACGATTTGAAGGAAGAGAATTGTATAAATATCATAGAGGCAGAATCGCAACACTCTGATCTTATTCCCTCTAAATACGAAGGTAGTCTATTTTGAATGTTTGACTTTTATTTCTTTAACATAAAGCACATGTATTTAGTATTTTTATTAACAAAACATGCCTTTAGAACTGTAAATAACATTTGTTACGAAAAGGTCCCTCGGTGTCAATTTGACACGTACAACTCTCACGTTTTATCAAGTCCTCTGACTGCTAGTATGTATATTACACGACAATAACCTAAATGTTTATTTTCTATATTTAATAAAAGAATTTACAAAATTAATTATTTATCTTTTCATTTAATTGATTTTTTACCATTGTGTCAAATTGACACCGAGGGACCTATTAAGATGCGAAACTGAGGGACGGATGAGGGTTAAAAAGGAAGTGGTATATTTGTGAACATAAATTATGCAAGTAAATAATGTTCTTGTTCCTTAACAAAAAGTTTCGCGATAATTGGCGTTTGTACGAAACTGATAAGTCGTTTCAATTTTTTTTCTTTTCGTAAAGGTGGTTTAAAGATTTGGGAATGTAGTTACGATTTAGCACAATACATATTCGAAAAAAACATCGTATTCCAAGATAAATTTGTTTTGGATTTGGGATGTGGGACCGGTGTTATTGGCCTTATTGCTCTTCTGAAAAATTCCATCGTTCATTTTCAAGATTATGTTCGTACTTCGTACTATATATTCTCCGTGCACATTTCTACAATCGGGTATGTAAACAGATCGTTTTACAGAACGTAGAGGTGATTTCAACCGTAACAATTCCGAATGTTTTGTTGAATTTTGAAGATCGAGAAAGTATCTTAAAAAGATGTGAATTTTTTTGCGGCGACTGGGAATCGTTCACGAAATTGCACGTTTCGAGCGGTGAAAACAAACTTGTGGAATACGATCTAATTTTCACCAGCGAAACAATTTATAATCCTGACAATCATAAAAAGTTGTACGAAGTTTTTAAACAAAGGCTTAAACAGGATGGCATTGGGCAAGTATAATCGTCGATAATTAAGCTTGTTAGATTACGTTTCTATGGAAACGGTAGATAATATTGGGTCACGTGACTTCTTTAGATTGATCGCTGCTAAAAGTTATTATTTCGGTGTTGGAGGAGGAATAAGACAATTTCAAAATTTTATAGAAGAAGACGGTATTTTCGACGTTGATGTAACGTGGAAAAGTCAAGATATACTTTTAGGATTACAAAGAGAAATTCTAAAAATTACAAGGAAGACGCAATTGTTGTTTATCTAACCAGAACGCGCCTTACATTATCTAACAAGCAGAAGACATTGTATTATTTCCATTTGTACATTAAATAAATAATTAATATTGTTTTCTAATAACTATGGAGATAGTCTTTCGAAAACCCATCCTTCATCTCCTTGATGAACAAGTACGTTATCGATTTTTTCGTCGAGCTTGCGCCGCCTAAAGCGAATTCTGTCGTGTAAACGATCACTCTGGCCTTGCCAAAATTCTATGGAATGTGGACTAAGGCTGTATCCGCCCCTGAAAATTAGTATAGATTATTTTCATGTACAACATATTTCCGATGACAAATCGTTATTAAAGGTGCGTGCAATTCTCGATGATCTCGTGCAAATAATTACCAAGTGTCTGGCCTTTTAACTTGACCTTCCGGAAATTGAGCTACCAGTTCTCTTTCCTTTACGATTAACGTTTGTCTGCTTGCGATCACGCTACTTTGCTTACTAGTCATCGATCCTATCTGGTTTGAGTACGGTCGACTCAGAAAGTAACGATCCGAGTCTTCTGGAGATGTTTTTTGCACTTTACCTTCAATACGTACCTGATGAAAAAGTAGTACTTATGTATAACGTTAATTTAAACCATATGTAAATTATTTTTAAATACCTAACGAAAAAAAACATGTTGGTTATTTAAATAAGAAAAAAGGAAAGTTTCAAAGTTCAACTTCCAATTCAATAATAAATTGGATCAGTCGATTCTGCTTTCTTCTTTACTACAATGTATCAATACAGGATGTTTTTTGTTTCTTTTGTTTGTCTTCATATCTGCGTGTTACTCTTGGCGACAAAAAAATATCGTTCGTAATTTTTTCCCGCGTTTTTAAGGCCATCGACCTTTTTCAGGGTATATTTTTGGTATCGTATTGTTCTAATGGACAAAAAGCAATATTTACACACTTACTTATAATATGCTGAGCTTCAATTAACCTTGAATTAAAAAAAAGAAGATTATAATAATTTAAAGGAAACAAAATTGAAAATTTTTATTATTCCGGTACGAAACGTTTGTTTTAGCATACCTCTTAAACTATCGTAATTCTTCTTCGTTCCTTGACATAGTTTTTTTATGTTACCAAAGTGATAGACAGAGATATGCAGACAGACAAGACAAATAACACACTACATATCGATTCTTACCGCTCGTCTCAGTGGTTCCCAATAAAACGTCACTGCTGCATATGGATTTTCAGCCTAAACATTTATTAAGTACAGTGTTTATTTATACCGTTGGAAATTATAAATTTAATACACTCACTAATTCGCGGCCTTTTCTACTTTCGTAATTGGTATAAAATTTGAAACCGCCTTGATCATAACCTTTAAGTAGCACTGCTCGTACGGATGGAATACCTTTCCTGTAAGAGTCGATACTTTTCAAAATGTTTTTCAATCGATAGCGAGACGAATAATTTATTTAATATTACTTAGAAGCTGTCGCAAGAAACATCACGTTTGCTTCCAATATTTGTGGGGTATTGCAAGCTTCTTTAAACCATGCGTCGAATTGACGTATAGGATTCTTGCTTACAAGATGATCTTCCGTAAAAGTTTCACTTTTATCTTTGTATTTAATTCGCATACCTATAGGGAGTATTAAAACACGTTATTTTGTAATATGCCTTTCCATTTTAATATTAATTTTTTTACTTTATAAACATTTATTCTACAATACCGTTGGAAATTATTTCTTACTGATACTAACGCTTTGGAAAAGAATTAAAACATAAATTGTTTCACTTACAATTTTCGCTGCTAAAGTCCCATTTACAAACTATGTTATGTCTTTAATTTATAATATTTGTAACGTTGTCAATGTTGAAATCAATTGGAGACGTGTTAAGTTATGATGGATTTTCGATAACAAGTGTATTGACGATAATTATACGTATATTTCTATCTGTTCAAAATTGATTCGTTCATGATTGAATCTAAAACGATTAAGTCACGGCTGAGGTGTGTACTTGAAGTAATCGTTTTGTCGGCAACCTTTTAAATCATTCGAAATGATTGAGTAATTCAGTCGATTATAAACGTATTGACCACACGGTGTGTATACATTCGTTTTTTAATACCACGCTAATGGTGATGACAGAAAAGTGCTCCTTTTGCGAAGGCAGTAATTACAAAGGCAAAGTTACCTCCGATGTCAATGCTGTAGTTTGTATCCTGAATAGTTGATTTTGCAGACATGATGTGGAATATTATTCGCTCTATGACAAACGTGCTGCTTGAATGGACGGAAAAGTAGAACGTCACTGGCGCAAACGCGTTGACGTTTACGGCGACTGAACCTGTTTTAAGAAATTCGAGGTTATATATGCCCCTTCCACTTCATAATTTAGATATTTTTTAGAGAAAGATGGCGCACAGTGTCGTAACGTGCAAACTTTTTATACTAATTTATTAATTTTTGCATTTTTCTGTAAGTGTAATGTTCTTAAAATTAAAGATTCTACTTTATGTAAGGCCAGTTCTTCGTTGTACTAATTTTAAATATTATATTTTTAATCAACTGTTTTCGCATCTCTGTATCGTCTAATTAAAATTTGAAAACTGTTTTGTACGCCATTACAATATATTGCGCGCGATGTATTAGGAAGCGTGTAAATAATCTTGTAATAGTATCTTTATATTGCGTAATTAGTATGTATCAGCATCTTATTATCTACGTACAATAGATTCTTTGTATGACGACATTACTTAATGCACGCACTTTTTACAGTACCTTTCCTTTCGAAACTCTTACGTCTTTAACAAAATTTTTAACTTTTTTATGATAACAAAGCTATGAAACGAGCGTACTATTAACAATATTGTCAATATGTAATATTATTGAGAAAAACTTGTAGGTGCGTCAGCTTATACTCTTTGTGACACGTACCTGTCTTTTCGTAGTATGTCCTTTTTTTTTAATTTCAGGAATTAAATTAATCTAATCAAGTATGCTGTTACAGTTTTTTGTAAATTTCATATATTCTGTGATGAAAATAAAACATATTAGTATACATCAGTATCAGTCCATCCCAAAAATGTAATATCAGTATACAAGAAAGTATAATGGTGATATTAATATTTAAGTATCATAAGGAGAACTCATGTTACTAATTATATGAGCGTAAAGATAATACAAATAATTATTTAGTTATCTTTGAAAGTTTAAGGTCATCGCGAATATGGGGTTTGTATGATATTCAAATTTATCAACGACTAAACAATCCATATATTTTATTTTATCAGTTCCGCATTTTATGGCATATATTTTTGGAAAGCAGTTACGTAAATAAATAATTAATTATTTACTTTATTATTTAAAAAAATGTATATATGGAGGCCGTTTTGTGCAAAATAAATTTTCTTAATCAACAAATAAATTGATTATACGTTGGGAAATAATAAAAATAAAGAATTTAATAAAAGAATATGCCAAAAGTATTTAAATAAAACCCCACTTGCACTTTATGAAATTACAGATTTTCGTGTTTTGCATGTGTGATTGATCATCGGAATAGTGTTTTAAAGTTTAAAGGAAAGCTTTACTATTTGTATCGTGTGTGCTTAATGTTAGATATAAGGAAAAACGAAATGTATAAATTTATTGTATATTGTATAATGAAAAAGTACAGACAAGTTTCATCTGTTATACTTTGACATCTAGTAGATGACATTTTCTTTAGGTTAGAATGAATTTATAGTGGATTTTTAAAATACATCAAATAAAAATAAAGTGTCTGTCAAGTGTAATGATAAAACGCATTTTGTAAAAAAATTGTTATTAACGTGTGTATGATAAAAATTAAACATTTACATACATATACTACTTGTAAACATTTGTTAATCAGTGAAAACTTCTTGTTAGAGATTTACGTTTAAATTAAAGATTAATTACAAATATAGTTGATGGTAAAAGATTGTAATATATTTGTGTTAAATTAAGGATGTTAAATAAGGATAACAAAATAATAATTTGCATTATTTTTAAAAACTACAAATAAAGATTTTCCACATAAACACAGTTTACAGTGAGAAAATAATACTATAATTTAAAAAGTTGGAAAGAAATAATTTATTTGAAAAAATTGAGAACACTTTTACATTTTTATACTATTTGTTTTAACCAACTATTTAATTGTTCAATATCTGCAGAGGTATCAGGATCTTTATTATATGCACTACATTCTGCAAATTCAATATTTGTATCCAAATGGGAAAATTCAAAATCTTTTCCCTGCTTGCCAAGAAAGATATTTGTTGCTGATGCATCTGTAGCTTCCAACTGACTTGTTTTTGTCATACGTAGTAAATTCATTTCCTTTTCTAATAAAGTTTTTATAACAACTGAACCTTTTGCCATAGTCTGATCTTGTTTATTGCATAGTACAAGTACAGCCTTTTTTTGTATAGCAGAATCAGACAATAAATTGTATAAAAATCTATGAATCAAAGGTTTTTATTATTTTTCTTTCAGGATGCAATGATTTGTTACTGTATGTACTTACTCTGCTACATCTCGAATATCCTTTTGGAAAGTCACAGAATCAATCACATAGACAAGTCCCTTTGTGGATAACTTGAATTTATCAAAGAATTTATACCGCAGACGTTCATGTCCAGGTATATCAACAAGCCTCAAGGAATGCTAAATGCATGAACAACTTTAAAGACCTATGTTTTGGTATGTTACAGTTTATGTTTTGTTAAAAATCATAAAAATGTACATACAAAAACTTACATTATTGATTATGATGTTTCCTACATTTTCTTTTACAGATGTATGTGTTTTGACAAACTTGGAACAAACTAGATGGGCATATATCAATGTTTTACCAGCATCACTGAGACCAGTTAACAATATACTGTTTTCTATAGATTTCTTTCTGCGCCATATGGTAAATAGTACTATGCAGATAAATGCAACAGAAGTTTATAAAACAAGAAATAATGTCCAAGATTAAACTATTAGTACTAAACAAATGGCTTTGGAAAGTTAAATGTATGGATGCTAGTGTAACAGCCTAAACAATTTTTTACACAAGAGATGTACCTATTGTTTTACTATATATTCTATCATAACAATATTGTTGTTAAATTGATTTTATTATTTTTTTTAATGTACCTCCATTTCAAAACCTAATTATTTTTAAGCAAGTAAATGTAATGTTTTGTATAATGTTAAAAATGAAACTAAGAGACTGTATGTTATTTATGAAAATCGTTAACACTTAAATAGCCGATCGTTGAACGTTTGCATCGCGTCTATAACCGATATCATTCCACATGTTTAGATGCAACAGTGAAGAATGATTACAATCCTATTTACCTATATATTTTTCTATAGTTTTTAACAAAATCGGAAATATATATCAATTTTGCGATCTGTGTGAAAGCATCCTTTAAATTGGTAACAGTACCTGGTCCGCCGGTTTACGTAAATTTTATCAGTGGATTGACCGACCGTTTAAATATTAAAATGGCAAATTAATATTTAATATACATGTACAAATTTGAAAGAAAACGACGTGTGTTACGTTAGCAATGACTATGCAGTTTATTTGCAAACGTAGTTTACCACGAGTTTTAAATTGACAATTTTTAATTTTATTTATTATATAGAAAAAAGAACTGTGATGTTAGTTTGAATAATATGAGACAATCTATTTCTGGTGTAAATTGTAGATTACTATTATGTTTCCATTAACTTTTAATACATGATATGAACATAAGGAACTTATAACCTATGGGTACTGCATTCAATTACCTATGGTTATAATAATCGCAATTATTGCAGCTACAACACCCATAAACTGAGAATCCACATTGTGGTCTGTCAATGGTTTTACATATTTTTCCATCGTGATAATTCTTTTATGTTTACTTCAAATCACCTCGTGGACATATGCCGATTCTTTAGAATCACGTAAAAAAAAAATACACTAATAGATGACATAGATTAAATCTGTAACAGTGCCATCTACACTGAGATGGTCATTTACACAAGTGACGTTTATACTGTATACTACAAAAAGTACTATAGCACGCCGTGTTCATAAAATGATATTAAAAAGTTCATGATGTTCTATGTACAGTATGTTTAAACATTTAAAAAGACGTCGAATATAAATGGGGAAAAGAATAATAGATTAGATCTTAGTAATCAGAATATTTCCATTTTTGAATGAACATTTGTTACACCACTCATAAAAAATATTAAAAATCGATGTATTCTTACTCTGATAAGCAAAATATAATTTCCCTGCATTTGAATTTAGTAATTACAAAAATAAATTAGCTTCAATGCTATATTTATAAATGTTACAATATTTGTACGTTTTTGTCTTAAAAACATATGTTTCTTCGACAATAAGAATGTTCTGCACTGTTTTACTTTTGTCGATAATGCAGTTTAGTCCCATAAAATTATGGAAGTTGTGCATCTATGCACAGTTATGGCGGTAAATAGCGAACGAACGTCCATTTGAAGTCGTGGTTTAAATATTTTAAAATTTTCGAAAGGTATTGCAAGTAATGGTATGTATGATATTGGAATATAGTAGTACTCGTGTGAGTAAAATTCAAAGTAAATGATAAAGCTATATTTCCTTCAGAAGTATTAATATTGTAACTGTGAGCCATTTGTTTGTCGCAATTCAATTAATTTAACTGCTTTCGCTTTTCTTGTCGAATAGACGGTATGCCATATTTTAATTTTTGAATAATCATTTCGTAAAATTAATTTATTATAGCTACTTTATTTCACGCGAAAATTGAAAATAATATATTACCCGCGTTCTGCGCAGTCTTCCAATCGTGAAATGTTATGTTGACTTACTTTTGACAACAACCTACCATTCGTGCAAGTGACCTTTACGTTTGAAAATCGAGGCATTCGTATCGTGGCATCGGTAGCGTCGGGTGTTTTCGAAATTGTCTCGCGTATTCTCGTCGAGGTTATTACGTATTTGTGAAATTTTTCTTTCGTTAATAGCGTCTTCGTTTATAATAGTGATATCAGTGTTTAATTATCGTGCAATAACGGGCCAAAGGAATACGTGAAAAGTGCAGAAGCTAACGTAGGACAACGTTGTGAAAAGTGGTGAGTATTGTTGTAACATTAAATTAAGTATTATTCCTTGTAAATTGTATCGATATAAATGGCTTAATTAATATTTTTAAGGTTTTGTGTGGTGTATGCTGTGTGTTGTGTGGTGTGTGGTGTGTGGTGTGTCGTGTGTTGTGTCCTGCGTCTTTCAACCTCAACAAGGGTAATTGCATCATCATTTGCATCTTCAGTACTCGACACTGGTGAGTCCCACACTTGCATACATATTTAGCTTTTACAAAATATCACATACAAAGATATTAATTAGAAAAACAAGCTACAGTTTTACGTATTTGTCTATTGTAAGTGGTTTTTATAAAGCTAAGTAATACTAAAGGTACATGTCCGTTTGTTACGATTACTCTCGAGAGTACGCTCGAAGTGTGTCCAGCTTTCTGACGTCACTCTCGGTACCGAGTATACCGACAAAATTTGACTCTCGAGAGTAACCTGCAATAGTTTCACTCTCAAATGCATACGTGCTCTTACGACAGTTGCTCTCGACAGTATTCTCGAAGTGTGTCCAGCTCTCTGACAGTTTTCTCAATACCGTGTATACTGATAAATTTAACTCTCCAGAGCAACTCGCGATAGTTTAATTCTCAAATGAACACGTATACTAAATTTTTGCTTCGAAAAGCAATTCATACTGCTCTCATATACCTCGTTTGATATTGTGTATTTTAATTCAAAGTAATTGCATCATATGTACGTATACCTACACAGCAATTGCCGGTAAGGTAGAAAATTCTACCTAGAAATGGTAACAGCACAAATGACTCGTCTGTGGTAAATGCAATTCCCAGCAATCTGTTGAATCTTAAATGCATTTAGGATAGGTGTCACTGCATCGCAGGTCTATTTTTTTTATCTATTACCTACAAGTCACCTAACGAAATTTCAGCGAATAGAAAATCATCGATATTCATCTTGAACAACAAAAAAGAATTTACCACTGTACTTAAATAAATCGACGTGCACTTATTTCATAACTCTAACCCTCAACCGTGGTCGCAAAAATCTTTCATTTCGTATCGTTTTAAAAATTTGTTTATTACATTAAAAATGGAGGTGTGGCAAATTTTCAAAATGCCTACGAACGTCAAAAATATTAAATTATACTAAACACACGCGATTAAAGCAATTTGGTGGCGTACGAAAAATTGATTTTTCACGTTTCTTTTAGATTATAGTTTCTTTCGGCTCGGTGTAATTTCCCTGGCGTAGTAGACGTATGGATATTCGAATCGTTTTAACGAAGGGTCGAGTGTTTCCATATTCGGTATACGGTGAAAAAAGAGAAGAAAAGGGTTTTGCGCGGGCAAGTTTCGCCGCTATCAGATCCTTCTGTCGGCGACGTATCCGCGAATTTATTGCTCGGCTTCTCCGCAGAGGCGGGAGAGCGCGATCTCTCCCTGAGAATTCCCTTTAGGATAGCGCCTTGTCTGTCAATTCCTCGCTATGGTCAAGACACTTGGTTCCCCTCATCGATTATCTGTCCTCCCTCGAGGTTTCCATGCAACCAGAACACTTCTCGGGGCCGCTAACCCGTCTGCGAGGAGGAAATTTTCGGGATCTTTTTATCTTGTCGCTGAAATTCTTCGGTGGGCCTTTTTTATTTCTCGCGTGGACACCGGCAATCGTTATACGGTGGATTTTGATTTTCTTATTCTTTTTACCGTTACACAGTTTGAAAATTTGTTTTATTAAATTAAGTCCGGAGCACGCATTTTTCTCTCTCACTGGCAATATTGTTCGGTGGATTTAGATTTTTTTTTTTTCTTTAATGTTACACAGTTTGAAAATTTGTTTTATTAGATTAAGATGGAAGTGTACCAACCCTTTTTTTCACCAGCAATATTGTTCGGTGGATATTGGTTTATTTCTTCACTGTCACATAGGGTACAAGGTAATCGTTTTAAAATTTATTGTATTATATTAAAGGGGTATTCTAGTTTTGGCATTTTTGCACCCCTTAAGTAAATTTTAAGAGCTGCGGGAGTTTGAACGACTCAATATCACGCCTGATACAGATTTTCGAAAATCTTTAACGCATTTTTCTCGAAAACAAATTTTTAAATACAAACTTTGTGAAACAATTGTCATTTTTTATTCCAAAGGCAAGAAATGACAATTATTTTACAAAATTCGACCAGTATTCATTTTATTTATTATTATTATTATTCGACCGATATATCGACGATATCTCGAACTCTAGAATTTTCAAAAGACGGTAAAAAATAATTCCAATTACTTTTCGCAAATTTGACAATACTCCAGACGCTGTTATCAAATGTCCACCAAATTAGCAAGAGATTCGATACCGGTAGAACTAGACTAGACAAGCGGGGACTGGAAATTTAATCGCGTGTGTAATTTTTCAATCATATTAGTTGATGCTAATCCGATTGAAATAATCCCGACTAAACCGTAATTCAATCTAAAAGTGCTCGGCGACGGGGCCCCGTTTCTTCTCTGTAATCGTCGCTTAACAACGAGTTTACATATCTCGACTTGGGACGCCTTGACGTTAATAGCATGTCCCAGGGGATCTTGATAAATTCGCGGCCACTCTCTTAATTACGTTGCGCGCGTCGTTCGTTTATTAAGTGTGCATCAATTATCATCGGAGTCGATCGCCGCGCGGAGGAAGACGGCGAGAAGATGATAGGTCCCATCATGTAAATACATCTTGCTCCAATTACATACGGAAGATATGTCATCTTCGCTTGAATACAGACCTTAATTAGCGTAATGTTAGACGGTCGTGATTTGAAACTCGCCTCTCTGTATATCAGATAACGTCGTTTCGTTACGCTTCACGGACGATGATGCACCTTCGTTAATATATTGACAACACCGGTCAACGGTGGGAATTTATTTCGCCACGACGATCAGAGTTTTATGTACGAAGGAATTCGAGCGTGGAAATTGAAAAGGAATTACAATGTTTCGCGTGTGGTAGAGAGATTTGATTTGAAAGTAGGAATTGAGAGGAAAGTGTCGATGGTTTTCTCTAGTAAACTGATCATTTTTTTTTAAATTTTCGAGTTTCGGTTGTTTTTGTCGCGAGTTTGTTTAATTCTGGTATAAACTGTTAGAGACTAATATCTAATATTGGAGAGAATTTGAAATCGAATTATTTGTTATTCGTGAACTTATTCATTCATCATTTATTCATTCTGTCGTATACCTCTCTCCTATCTCTCGTTAGTTTTTAGTCATCCTGCCTCCTTTCCTTAACTAAACAAATCCGCATCATCCTAACGTTAGTCACCCCGAAACCTAGACCTCCACATCATCCTTTACTCATCGCTGAACCTAGACCTCACCGCCTCTCCCTACATTGACCTCTGAAACCAACCCCTACTCTCGTACTTACCGAACTTATATCTAGAAACCTTTTCCGTCGAAACAGCAGATTTTTGTCTAGTGGTCTTCACGCACCGAACGTCACCGAACAGTCGAATAAAGTCGAATAGTACTACGTATTGAAAATAATAACCCAACGCAAGGAATCGCGAGCCGCGGAATACAGCAATTCATTACTCGTGGATAACGAATATTTCAAATTCACTCGTTATTCGGGAATAATCCAAATTCATTCGTTATCCGTGAATTACCGAATAATTCAAATTTATTCGTTATCCCATATAACTTTTGCCCAACACTGTGCCTCAGTTTTAATACTACCACCATTTTCGACCAGCTCCCAGTAACAAGTTCATTATGCATAAAAAAAAGGAAGTCGCAAAACCGTGAAACAAGTTTCATTAGTTTGCCAACCCTGCCATCAACACTACTATCGATCCCATGCGAGC